TTTTGCTAGTTTCAGCAGATTTTTTTCCGCAGTCAGACTTATGTATATGGAAACCAGATCATAGCGATTTATTGGGCCGCAACTGTCGATTCTGATGAGACTAAACCGGATTCTCACGGGCCCGGCTATACAGAGAACCAGGAGATGCATTCATATCAACTATCTCGCTTAAACGTTCAGTTATTCCGAAACCTGAATACCTCTGTAGCCAGCCCTGAGGAGCTGCTACAACAACAACAACAGCTCTCCAGATAGACGTCAGCCCTATGAGAAATTTGGTTCTAGGCACACAATGTTTTTTGTTGTAACTTCACAGTTACTATTGGTAGTGATATACCAACCACCGGTGCTAGTGGTGAACCTAACCCAGTAGATAATTTCACGAGTTAGAAACCCTTCCGAAAGGCCTTTCTGAGAGTCAAGAGGCCGGCCTTCCACTCTATATTCCTCTCCCATTTCATTTTTGTATGGAGTGGCTCAAATTGAAGGGCTTCTTCTTTCGCTACACATGGAAGGCCTTCCAAAAGGACGTACTTCAGAAGGCCTTTTGGAGGAGTTATTTTAATGTTGCTTCTTTAATTTATAAAAATCATCTATGCGATCGCGTAAATTGTAAATGGATAAGCCCTTCTAAGAGGCATACATGGAAGCACTTTTTTCAGCCCTTCTTGGGTAGGCCTCTTAGAATGGCTTTATTTAAGAAGGCCTACCTAAATTATCTTCTGGGAACCTTATCTAGAGGTAAAATATCCTTGGAACTTCTCTCAAATGAAAGTTGATATTATGAAATACATTTTAAAAGTCAAATACATTTTACTTCAGAGAAATTAGAAATTTTAAACTTTTTATTCGTCCTGTCTTGCCGGAATATTTTCCTCGCATTATGCAATAATAGTCGCAGTTCCAACATAAATCATTCCATTATACTTTACAGGAATGTAGTTAGAGCGTTGGGGCTTGGTCACAGAAAAAAACGAGCGGGTTGGAAAATAATACTTTTCATACTCAAGTAATTTTAAGAAAAGAATATCAGTTTCTTCGAAAACTTACCGTCGATGACCCAAATAAGTGCTTGGCGATACCAGTCCAAAATCGGGCTCTAGTAGGCGTGGTGTCGACGAGCCAAAGGCAAAGGCAACTGTATTGCGGGGGCCTTTCTTTGTTTCCAAGCGGGAATCGCGTTCCTGTAAAGCAAAAAATATGTAGCAATAAATCATATTTACACGCCAACATCCACCTGCAGTATGTATGTACATCAAATGCTGCTACTGCAAGTGCAACCACAACAACAATAATGCGTGCGTGCATTTTCAATTATGTATTTCATACCTGATTCTTCCGCAATATATATTCCCGGCGCTCCTTTTCCGCCTCGGTTATGGCGCGTTTACGTTCTTCGACCTGATGCCGCTTCTCCGTGTCGCGTTGCCTTATCTCCTCTATGCGACGGCGACGTTCCTCTTCTTTTTGTTCGCGATATCGTTGCGCCGCTTCCGCCTGCGCCCTTAGCTCTTCGATTTTTCTTTGTCTTTCTTCATTTTGACGATCCCGTGCAAACTTTAGCTTCTCGTCACGGTCTTTACACACTAAATATTCGCATTCATATTCGGTTTGGCACAATGTGTGTGGTTTTCGGAACGATGTTGTTGATGATTTGATACGGTGAGCGGTGCGTTGATTTTTGTGTTTTGGTTGGTTGGTTGGTTGGTGCATGGAATGTTGGAGAATTGCAATTAGTTAGTTGAGAGAAAAAACAAATGTATATGTGCATATTTATATTCAACTATACATATGTATGCACGTATGTATATCTATGTATATTTAATAAATGTTTTTGTTTGCATGACTTTAAATACATACATACTCTATGCATGTACAATCGATCATATGCATTTGCGGCAGTGCAACATGCGAAAACCACAAACAACGGAATGAGTGCAAATAAAAATAGAAAATTCCAATGTATTTTAGCGGTGGTTTGAAGCAGTAGCGGCTAGCTACTTCATCATAATGCATACAAACATACATAGGCAAGTCGAGTTAAAGGTAGGAGGAGTGAGGCGAATATGCAATGAATTGCCGCTTTGAGATTTGTACAATATGCAAGTTCACAATCGTCGACGGTAATGACGACACCTTATTTACATATGTAAGAAATAATAAATTTCAAGTGCATTTAGTTTATTTAAATTCAAATTAAGTGCAGCAGCATACAGTACAAATGGTTTGGGTAGATGCGATGAAGGCAAGGTAGCTTTGGTGGAATTTGCGCTCTATGGCAATACAGAGTGTAGGGCAGAGGAGTTGCAGTGAAAGCGAAAGATTAGAAATGAGAAATGAAGCTACAAATTACTAAAACATGTTCCTCTTAAGAGCGATAGATAACTTGTCATTTGCTATTTATTGATTGATTGAAATGTATTCACTTGGACGACCCGGGACTGGAGGTTCGGCGGTCTTGAGGGAGTTACAATTTTGAAATATTAAGCGTGATTTTTTGTTTACGATGAAGCTAAGTATAACACTTGTTAACGGGCTATTAGAACGCTCTGCTTGGGCGTCAGGTTCCTAATAAAATGGAGGATGGATTTTGAGAATTTAGTAAGCGACATGAGAGGGAGTGGCAGCACCTTTGACTATAGACAAAGCTCAACGAACGCTGGGCGAAAACTACCACGACATGCGCTGTTGTAAGGTCTTTCTGGACCAGGTGGACCGGAGATGGTTTAGGGACCTCCTGAGGCTCACAAAGCCGCTATTCTGAGTGTTGGTGGGTGTGTATTGATAGAAAACTGTCCGATTGATGTTGACGTAGTGCCGCAGGTGCTTGGAGGAAGATATGGTGGAATCATCTCAACAGTTTCTCTTAAAGTGTCCTCTTAAACTGCCCAAATTTTTTTGTAAATAAATAATTTTAAGGGGAACTGAAATGTGGCGCAAAAGGTATCATTAAAATTTATTTTGCGGTAATCTCAAATTCATTGTTTATTTGATCCAATGAATTTAATTTTTTTTATATTTGGAAAATGATATCTGATATATGGCCGCCACCACAGCTGATGCAAGCTTCGGCTCTTTTTATGGCACTATAAGGTTTGCCATGATTTCCGGCGACAGATTGCAGATTTTTTTTGGCGAATGCTGTTGACGGCCTGGAGAGTCTGTAGCTTGTTTACGTAGACTAGCCCCTTTAAGTAACCCCATAGATAGTCTGGAGCCGTCAGATCAGGCGATCTCGGTGGCCAACCGACATTCGCTAATCGAGAAATAACACGGCCTGGAAAAGTGTTCCTCAACAAACACAATATATTTCGAAACTGTCTCCGGTATAATTTAAAAAAAGATATATATATATATATATACAGCCAAGTGAAAAAGTTTAAAGGTCTTCAAATCCTTTTTACAACGCTTTTATTTTACATTATAATATGCCCTCCACTGTTGCTGAACAGTTTTTGTTAAACTACGTTCACACCACAGCGTAAACTACTTAATTTTGTTCATACTTTTTAGTTTCGTTCCTCAACTTTTTCAGGAGAAAATTTATAAAACTGACAAAGAGCAAAATTGCTCTCAGAGAAAGAGAAAAAAACCCAAAATGTACGGGAACGCTTTCCGGGTAAAATCTTGAACTCTATCAAATACTTCGTAGCCGCCATTTATTGTTTACAAACCTCTTTTTTATCATTTGGCGATTTGCTCGCAAATAAACAGCCAAATAAATAAAAATACTTTAAAAAACTTGAAATCTTTATTTACGATATTTTTTAATTAGGTGAAAATGCAGATTTGTTTTTATTTTTAACCAACTTCTTGTCGCATAGCTTTGGACCATGTTCAGGGTTGGTCCCATTCTAATTTGGTTTAGATCCGATCTTTGGGTCATGGAGAAATTAACGGTACTCCAAAATTTTTATATTTGTTGTTTACTCAATTTTTCATTTGCTTTGACAACACAGAGCAGCTGATGGTTTGACACTTTCTAAGTTTCTATTAGCAAAAATTCTTCGGGTAAAATCTTGCAACTTTGACAAAGAGAGAACTTAGTTTACCCTTATTTTTCCTCTCATTTGCCAAAGAACCGAGTATGGGAACGCTATCTAGTAAGTTCTGGCAAAAACTTACAACTTCTGGCAAGATGGGGAACGCAATTATAGCTCTGATCCAGTACTCCATGAACTTGCAGGTTTTTACACGAACTTGTAGGAAGTTATACGAAAAATTTACCCGTACTCCAAAATCCTGTAAGTGAGATCAATTTTTCGGGAGTTGTGTAGAGAATTAAGTTGCAAGATTTTGCCCGAACTTTTTCTTCTGGTAAAATGATAAAAAGCAGGGATGTGAACCGGTTTTGAACCAGTTTCTATTAATTAACTGAACCATTAACCGAACCGAAATTTTCCACAAATGTTTGATCCGAACCTAAAACCGAACCACTTGACCCTTAACCTTGCGCTTTGTTGCACTTGACACTTGACACTTAAACTTGCGCGTTATTTTTTTGTTTTTCGAACCGTTGAACCGAACCACTTTGATGAACCAATCCAAAACCGCTTTGATGAACCAATCCAAAAGTGCAAAAACGGTTCGAACCACTGAACCGAACCGACCAAATTTTTCATCCGGTTCACGTCCCTGATAAAAGGTGTCAAGCGATAGCTGTTTGTTTTAATTTTACTATAAAAAAATTCCAAAAAAAAAACCCTATTTACAAAGTGACATGACCAATATTTCGAAAATTCACAAAAATTCCATCAAAATTTTAAACTTTTTATTTCGAATTTTTGCAAAAATTTCGAGTATGCGGTGTTGTTTTAATTTTACTATAAAAAAATTCCAAAAAAAAAAACCCATTTACGAAGTGACATGACCAATATTACGAAGTCACAAAAATTCCATCAAAATTTTAATCTTTTCATTTAGAATTTTTAGAAAAATTTCGAGTATGCAGTTTTGTTTCAATTTTTAAAAAGAAAAAAGAACTGTTTGCGAAGTTGCATGACCAATATTTCGAGTACGATTTTTAACAGTCTAGAATCACTATCCGTCAAAGACCGTACGGAGGAAAAAAAAAACACGAAGGATACGGAAAATATGCTAAAAAAGGCTGAGAAAAATAAAACACGAAGAATGCAAAAAAAAAAAATATTCCTCAGAAAACCTCCTTCTGGAAAAACAAAAACGAAAAATCTTGAAACATTTTTTTCTAAGGAAAAAATATCAATCAGGAAAACTTTTGTCTATAAAAAATAATTGGCATGTCTTGCTCAAAATATTAGTAGTCAAATTCTCCATTAAGAGAGGGTTGTAGTGGTGTTTTCGATAAAATGGTACATTTTTTTATAAATTTTATTTGATTTCAAAATCTAAAAATAACTTTCATGACAAACGTCTTTCCAACCAGTAATGAAGGGTTCTAAATAATTTTGACATACGATTTTTATTTAAACGACCTGTATACAGAGACCCCAAACATTAAGAAATAGAAGTTCAGGTCACAAATAAAATGAAAAATTTATCGTATATTTAATGCTACTATAAAGCTTTCGCCTTCTTCAGCTATCAGTGTTAGAACATTGACCAAATTCATTTGTCAAAAGTTGTGATGCTCGTCTGTATGCAAAGTAAATAAGAATGATTAATTACTTATTGTTTAAATAGAACAATTGGCTTCAAAACAAACACAAAAATGCTAAAATTTAGAGAACTGTTTTCGGCTAATTAGTTCATAGTCTGTTATCAAAATAAATATACTTTTAAAAACATTCTACCGGCACTAACATAGAGCCAAAGTAAGCACCAAAATATTGAGAGCTAACGATAACATGATAAAGAAGAATATGTACATACAATTCCACAGGTAGGCAAGAAGTAAGCGAGAAATCGAGCATTCACTGCGCTACATACATACTGACGCACTGACGTCATTTCAATAAATATTGTATTTGCATTCAAGAAAGGTTTGTTTGTATCTCTTATCGTTCTTAGTCATTAAATCAAATGTTTTTTGTTTTGAATTATTATTTTTTTTGCACAGCTTAATTTGTGAAAGAAAAGGAAGAATGTAACCCACGTTCTGAGAAGACAAAAGACTCAGGAATGGAATAAAACAGAATGAAATCGAATAATGAATAGATGGCAGAGCATAAGCACACAAAATTTAAGCAAATTAAGGCACTTAATTGCTTTCTTCTCTTACAAGTCGAAAACAAAGAAGTCGACAAAAAATATGTTTGCTCATTTTAAATGGCTAATTTGTATAGCAAAAAAGAAAAAAAAAAAATAAGAAAAGTAGCCAACTAAGCATAGAGCGATAGTACATATGGTCAAAAAGCTATGTAAGCATACATATGTATGTATGTATATATACTTGTGATCAGCTAATTAAGCCAGCAACATTTAGATAAATTTTGGCTATTTTTCTTTTGTTTATTTAATGTTTATTATTTTTCCATAAAAGTCTAGCTCATAATATAACAAACACCACATAAATCCAAATTTCAAAAATTGTGCAAAAATTATGAAAAATCTGCAAAGTTTCAGCTAAATTTTCAACTTTTTATTAAGATTTTTTTTGAGTATACAGTTTAATAGCCCATTAAATTCAAGGGTAATAATGTGCAAGTCTTAGGGCCGGTTACTCAATGTCTGGTTAACAGCAATCTGCGGTTAAACAACGTTTCGACGTCTTCGACTCCATGCATATAACAGGGAGTCGGTAACGTCGATAACGGTGTTTAACCGCAGATTAGTGTTAACCAGACATTGAGTAACCGGCCCTTAAGTTGCTAAAAAATCGCGTTGATTTTTAATAATTTGTTTTCATGGCGCATTTTTTTCCATACAAAAAAAATTTTCGAACTTATTTTGTATGGAAAAAAATTTGCAATGCAGTCAGAAAAAAATTATTAAAAATCAACGCGATTTTTTAGCAACTTAAGACTTGCACATCATTACCCTAGAATTTAGTGGGTTATTAAAATGCATACTCAAAAAAATTCTAAAAAATCATAATTTTTGCACAAAGTTTGAAATCTGGATTTATATGGTGTTTTTTATATAATGAGCTAGACTTTTATGGAAAAATAATAAACATTAAATAAACGAAAGCAAAATAGCCAAAATTTATCAAAATGTTGCTGGCTTAATTATCTGATCACAAGTGTATGCTAGTTTAGCTGACGGCATGTCAGTTTGAAGCGTGGAAAAAATCGGTCGGAATTGGAAAGTGTTACACACACATACATACGTACTTACTAAATATTTTTTTATTTTGCTTTTAGAAACTTGCATTCGGCCGAATCGCGAAAACTACACGTCCAGTCGAGTTGTTATTTAAATATTTGCATGCACAGTATTTAGATAATATTTAGTATGCTCTAAGTAAGTATAACATCAGGTTGCCCCACAAAAAAAGTTACGGAGCTTCCACCGGAATCATAAGATTTATTATATTTCAAGACTTCAAGACAAGTCAAAATAATTGGGAAAATTATTAAATTTTTTTTTGTATTCCGTTGATAAAGGTTTTAAAGCCGCTTTCTCAAGACGTTTTTTTTTATTTTCTAAGGATTTTAAGCTTACACTTTTCTATCAATTGAGATAAATTTTTTTTTTGGAAAAAATATTTTTAACTCGCGCGGAGCCGAACATCAAATACCCGGGCAAGTATTCAATATAGTTTTTTCACCTTTCCGAAAACGACCACTACGTGGTAAGCAGGAGTGGTTTTACCCATATTTCAAACATCTTCGATAGAACGTTTAGTTAGACTTAATTCTGGTTGTTGTAAGCCGTTTGCATCGACAGCCGTTCGTTGAATAAATAAAAGTATTAACGACAGATTATAACACGTTTTCAATACTTTTTCATTTCGAAGGGATAATAGGAATAAAAATTTGTTGTAGATTATGTCTTTGGTTGCCTCATAACGCCAATGAAAACCTCAAATCTCGATGAAAGACTGTCGGAATAGGGGCCCGACTGAGATAAACTTTTTCTGAAATTCCATAATAATGTTACACTTCTTTTCAAGGGATTGTTGTTAGTATCAATTTTGAGTAAATCAGAGCCCTTAAATTTCGAAATATCGAAGTTTCAAGCATGTGGGTAAGTGGGCGTAATTTTAGTCCGATTTCAATATAGCAAAATAATAATCATACCGAGTTTGGTACAAATTGATCGAACGGTTACCGAGATACACATATGTGGTCATAAGTGGGCGGGGCCACGCCCATTTTCCAAAATTTTATCATAAACGTATTTTTTGCTAAAGAATTATTGCTGATTACTGATTTATCGCAGATTTCGTATTTCTCTAAATTATCGTTATATGGGATGTGTGCGTGGTTATTGTCCGATTTTGCCCATTTTCAATGCGCAAAAGTACACATACCAAGTTTTGCTAAGACATCACAATTTATACTCGAGATATCGTGTGCACAGAGGGACAGACGGATGGACGGACAGAAAGTCATCGCTTAATCGATTTCTTTTTTATTCTGATCATTGTTCTTCTGAAAATGTTTAGGAATATTTTCGGCGGAAGTCTTAAAATATAATAAATTTTATAGTTCCAACTATGGACTATGTGTACTATTTTGTATGTTGATAACTAGAATCATTGTTCCTAATAAAACGGTTATAATTGGAATGATAAGTAGTTTAATAGTTAGATATTAAAAATGAGGTATGCATTGCAATCTAACGAATATATTGTGTCCTCTACACTTTAAATGCCATTATGTAGCTTGATTGCTAGCTTAGTTTTCAAAATTCCTTTTGTTAAAGATTTATGTATGAAGTATTGCTGTTACGAGGTTTATGGGATGACTTCCTAATATATTATAACTAACATAGCTATCCAGTCTTTGAGAATTTATGATTTTAAACCACCCTATAAAAAACTTACGAACAATTGATAATTATAAAGTCGGCTTTTCATAGCACAAAGAATGTGTAGAGCGGAACGGCATTTTAGAGGTCAAAGTTTAGTATAAGGAAAAAAATCGAATGCATGGCCAACCCAATGATCTAAATGAAAAACTCGAATTCAGTATAAGAGTTAGATTTTGAAACACAGCATTGGTCACGTCACAAGTGAAATGTCTCGCATAAAATAAGTAATCTTCATTCATTCATACATATATATACATATGTAACTAAATTATCACTGCTTTGCTTTTGTCGCAATTTTTTCCAACGTAATTAATAATTAAAGCTAAATTAATTTGTGGTTTGCTATCTTTGGTCGCTATTGCCGGCACAAATCGTGCGTTTCACCTTATGCTTCCAGTCAATATGCGATGGACACGCTACCGAAGCTGACGTATGACATTGTTGTGGTTGGGAAAGAAGACGACTATGTATGTATGTACATATGTCGGCTACTTGACCGGTAAGAAGCAAAAAAATAGCAAAAAATAAAGATAATAAATTGTACATTCATGTATTTAAGTACTTAATCCACGTTCTAGCATTTACACATATTTATTTACGTACGCATGTAGTGACATAGGCGACTTCTGTGCTAGAGTATCTACATATGTACGTCGTTTTACTTCTATGCGTATTTAGGTTTGAAAATTCCTACTTAGTTGCGACTATGAGACGCTTGCATCATCGGCAAAAATGTATTTCAAGTAATTTAGGTCGGATTTTTAATTGGCCGTTTTCAGTACATATTTGTATAACAGATTACATGAAACGATAGGCATACAAATATGTAGATATGTATGTACATGTGTAAGCACATATGCAACTATGTATAATAATTTTAATATTCACTTACAAAGCTCTATTATTGCGTCTTTGGAATGTACGTATGCATTTTTGTAGTAGTTGTGACAACAAAGTCAAGCACAAATGCAGAAGCAAAAATAGACATATGCATGCAGGTATGTATGTTTATACAGGGGAAAAATCAATTGATACCATCATATCGTCAACCATCAATGCAAAGGCCCTAGGGACTTTCTGTTTGTTAATAAATCTGACAGATTTTCGATTTGCATACCATTCTTTTTGGCGGTTAGGGCTCGATATGTTGTACCTGCAGTAGTATATTGGATGCAAAGCACACTTAACTACCCTGCGCTTCAGTATCATCTCCACCCACTTGAGCCCACCAATGCAGAGAGCTCACATTAGCAATTACACCTTCCATAGAGTTCGAGTGGCAAGCACTTAGCGGTGCACAATATGGGTTAAGTGTGAATTTAGCTGGTTAAAATTTTCGACATTTAAAGATGTTTTAGGTTTTAAACGGCTTCATCATGTTGCAGTTAATTAAGAAGGGAAGAATGGAATGTGAAATTGTTTACCATGAAAGCCGAATTATTTACAAGCGTGCATTCATATTTTCAAACATACACACATACATATAATAGGTATAATGTATGAATGCATGAAATATTCACGTTTGTACCATAAAGTTTCTTAATAATACAAATGTATGTATAAATGGATGTGCGTGCAGTAATTTCGAAATGCTTATATGTAATTACCTTTGCGTTCGACACTGCCTTCTCGACTTTCGATTTTCTGAACTGGTTCAGCTGCAAAATTAAAGAAAATTTATGAAAATTACTAATAACAAAAATCCTAAAAATACTATGTGTGTTAAATAAACAAGAGCTTAAGCTGGAAGCAGATTGATATTAAAAAACAAAATATTAATACAAATCTTAAAAGTCTGGTAGTCGAAGATAGGAGGTATTACGAAAAATTTCGACGGATTAATGCTGGATTTGTAGCATACGCAATCTGTTGCTAGTGGATATTTATTATTAGCAGTTTTCACACAAGTTCTATGAATCTATTTACATATGTATACATGCATATATATATACATATGTACATGCATACAACTTAATGGGGAGATAAAAACGCCTATATGTATTTATTTTCTCACGTATTCCACGAATCAGCTGTACTGTAAAACAAGCACAAAAAGGCGAAATACGAAAACAAACAGAAACAAAAACAAAAACGAGTACCTCCTAGTAGTAAGCCGAAAAGAAAGTGGAAAATAGTAAAAACATATTTCAAGTATACTTTCACGATTATCTACCCTTCAAAATAATGCCTCTAGCATGAAAAAAGAAACCATTTGTGCGAATACTTTGCAGATAGTGTCAGATATTCGTAGATAACATACATATGTATGTACACCTCTTACTTTATCGCTATTTGACTAATCAGTAATGAAATGCAACCAAAGAGATGAAAATTATCATCAAAGTTCTGGACAAAGCAATAGTCCTAATAGATTATAATTCCGACAGTATAAAAACTAGTTTCAGCGGCAGAGCATTATTTATTTCACTTGAAAGAAAGCGAGTTTAATATTTTAATTGTTCCCATTATAAAAACAACAGAAATAATGGAAACAGAAATAATTGGGGAATAACAAGTCATTTTTAAGCAAAAAATAAAATCGATTTCAATTCTCATATAAAAGTTTAAGAGTACCGTTAATTTCTTCATGATGCAATGATTGAATTTAAGCCAAATTAGTATGAGGCCTCCTCTGAGGTAACACCTTTCTTTTAAAAGAAGAATGATAGAAATCGGTTGCGTCCATATAACGAATAAACACAATTTATTTTTTTATGGAAGAAACCCGCAACACTTTCGACGAAAAAAATTCTATAAAATTAACGATGATTTTTAGCAACATGAAACTTGCACATTATTAGACTAAAATTTAATGGGCTATATAAAATTGTGTAATCAAAAAAATTCTAGCGCTTCTGAGAAAAAAGTTTGAAATTTGGGTGAAAATATGTTGCACTTTTTTGCAGTCTTTTAAAAAGCTTTAAACTTGGGTTTATATGAGTTTTTTGAGAGAATGAACTGTATTTCAATTAAAAACTCAAAAAAAAAAATATATATATATATAAATAAAAACATGAGTAGCAAACAATATCACTTTGAAATGGGAGTGCTATTGTATTGGCCAATACTGTTAGTATCCATATATGCCATGTACATACATATATTTATATTTTTTTTTTATAAATAGGTGAAATGATTTTGCTTTGCGAACATTTAATCATCATAAACGATCACACAAACACCTTTTTTAAGTACTTTACATACATATGTATATACTTGAACCTTTAGTCTATCATATCATTGCCATTTTCTAGATCCTTCAAATAACGTATGTATTTGAATTCTGAATAAAACCATGGCGGAGTCATACCAAGCGCGATGGAATAAAACCATCTAGAAATGCTATGAGCAAAGACATTTTAGTCATAGAGTTCAGCAACCCCACGACACCCAACCCCGACAGGGAGCGGTTCATCTTTTAACACAACTAGGACAAAGGAATTACATAGATATGTACATATGTATATTCCAGTGTATGCCAAACTTTGTACTGGTGATTCAGTTGTGCCGTGTCTGTGGATAAGCTATACAAATCACATCAATTTGCTGCTTATATACGAATTTGCCACCTAGTTGCGAACTTCGATGTACTCGTTCTTCACTCTTTTGTAACACCTTTAAAACCGTTTGACCATTATAAAGGCACCTGACATACATATATATGTATTGTACATACACCTAACTATATGTATGCAAATATCAAAAAGTATGTTTTTAATCGATTTTTTCACTCCACGCGAGTGCATTAAATTATTACTTGATACGAAAGAAAGTACTTAGCAATTTTCGACATGAATGAAATGCAGCACACCAGATGTTTAGCACATAAATGCTAGAGCAGAGCGAATTTGTGCTGGAAAAACTAGACTTATTTTTAAACTCTCCGCCTCTGCCGATATCATGAAAAGTGCAGAGTTGTGCACAACACTGCGTTGGCCCTTACGCCATTTGAAAACACAACAACTTGGTATTTTCATAGAAAGGGCGTTTTTCTTCAGCACGCACGCACCCATTCCTGGAGTGGTGCACCATGGTGATGATGACAAATAGATTTTTCTTTTCAGGTTCACACAATAGCAAATGTTTGCTGCGCAGCCACCGATGTCTTTCGCTCAGCTGCGCCGCTGCCTTCAAGGTTGTTCGCCAGCTCTTCAACAATCGATCGTTTTATTATCCTCCAAAACCAATAAATTTCATGAAAATTTCTTTGCCAAAATATCATCTGCATCCAGCTGAATATTAATTTGTGCTTTTTCGTTGATTTAGAGCTTTACCTTCTTGATTATTTGATGAAATTTGCTGTTCGCCCACAAGACTCGCCATATTTTTTCACTTTTACATCAGTCACTTGGAATTTTTCACAGTTTTAGAACTAATAATGACGACGACTGCGAAAGCAAAAAACGAAAACGGCGATGACCGATGACAAAAGAAACGGGCCAAAACACGGTTCTGTGACATCTATGTGTGAAGTGTGAAGTTGCTTTGTAGCACGAATCGGTTAAGGCCGGTCCACATAGAACTTTCGCGTTGGCTTTAGCGTTGGCGTTGGTTTGACAGAATGCACTAACCACTGTGGCACTAACGACAGATAATGCAGATAAATTAATATTTCATATCAATAATTGCATTAAAAACGATATTTCTTGCCCGCAATTGATTAAAAAGGAAAAATTGGCTTCGCCGTGACTTCCTCCGCTTGAGATAAAAAGGGATAAATATATATTTCGTTGTGCGTTGTTGCAAAACATGATTCAATAAATGAAAGTTTGCTCCATGTTTGCTCCAAGCTGAATTTATACAGGTGGTGTTACTGGCGAATTTAGATATGAATTCGCCTTGTTTACAACAAACACATAATTTTGACATTAATAAGTACCGCGGCGAAAATCTAAATTCGCCAGTAACACCACCACGGTGCAGCGAACAAAGGTGGCGCCGTCAGTGGTACCGCTACTTTGGTTTTGCCGATTTTGACAGTTTTGGTAACTTGTAAATAAACCCTTGTTTACAAATCAGCGAAAGAGAAATTTGAATTATTAGTGAAAAATCAGTTTAAATCGTATTAATTTGCAATTTGTGAGTGATTTTTAAGTTGAAGACTGCGTAAAAACTAATACAATGAAGTGCTGTGTGTTAAATTGCGACAACCGTAAAGATGCAAGAAGCGTAGATGCAAGTGTAGCGCTGGGACGAATCGCTGCATTTTGAGTACATAAGGCAAGACAAAGCCGTTCCCGAAATGTTTCTCTATTATTATATTAACAGCATTTCCTCACAATGATTTTGCTTCTGCTCCACGCAGCCTCCATTAGCAAGTTAACTAATCAGTCCCGCAGAGATGCTGCTGCAGTTTTCTGCAGCTGCCTTAATTGCAAAGCAATGGAGTGCACTAAAACGTTTGCTGAAGCAGCCTCAATTGCAAAGCAATGGAGTGCACTACAATGTTCACTGTTCTCTAATAAATTAGGTGTAAAATGCAATATTTTCGCATTTAGCAAAATTAAAACACGTTTTTCGCAGTAAAGTGAACTGCTTTGGCTGTTTCTACTCGTTCTTCTTTTCGCTCTATTCTTTGTTTACTTGTGGTACACAAATGTCAACGCCCAGGACGGCGCAATCTTGTATTCTATCATTCTTGTAACACCACCTTGTATAAATTCGCCTTGGCTTGCTCATTAAGGGCCGTTTACATACGACTTTCCTCGCTTTGCTTGACAGTTAGAACTTAGAGAAGTAAGCGTGAAGCGTAGAAGGTATGCTACAATAAACGCTTTGCCAGCTTCTGCGTTCTCCTTTTCCTCCATGTTTTATCTATGTAAAATAGATAACAATGTAATAATATGCATAAATAATAGCAATAATAATTCATATTAACTAGAATTTGTCATTAAAAGCAAATGCAAGCGCGCGAAAAAAGAGAGATGTAGACAGCTGATTCCCAAAGCACGCAAAATTTGAGAGTTGCATTGTATTTTGCTTCGGTTTGCTTTCCTCGCCTTCTATTTAGCAAGGCTCATATAAAATCATTTGTTGAACTTATCTGTCAAAGCTGAATTATGAAGCAAAGCGAAGCAAAAGTCGTATGTAAACGGCCTTTTAGTTGCCGGCAATTTGGTAGTTTGACAGCTACATTTTCATTTGCACGAAAACTTCGTGGCTGCAACATCATTTTTATTTTAATATAAAAGCAAAAATTGAGCTGTTTCCTGTTAAAATATTTGTAATTTTGAACTTGGATGTAAAATAGCCTATTTTATAAATTTTTTAAGCGATTAAATCCGGCAAAAATATATTTTCGAAGCTATCTTATGCTTATATCAAAATATTAAAAGTCCATACAAATATTGCCACTGATATAACTTATACTTAGCGACCAAAATGACAGCTGGGCAGCAATAAATTTTATCCTGTGGAGACGACCAGTAACAAAAGCTTTGCACACACACACAAACCCACACACAGTGCCGCGGTCCTAATGTCAAAATGATGTGTTTGTTGCAAACAAGACGAATTCATATTACAACAAACACATCATTTTGACATTAAGAAGTACCCCGGCGAAAATGTAAATTCGCCAGTAACACCACCTTGTATAAATTCGCCTTGGTCAAGAGGGAGCGAGAAAATTAAGGCGAATTTATACAAGGTGGTGTTACTGGCGAATTTAGATTTTAGCCGCGGGCCTTGTGAATGTCAGAATGATGTGTTTGTTGTAATATGAATTAGCATTGTCTACAACAAACCCATCATTTTGACATTCAGAAGGACCGCGGTGTTAACGCCACCTACATGTCAACTACAACATCCGTCCGGCAGCACCAGATAATTTATGCTACCGCTATGTCATTTTCGAACATTTATGTATTTACTTATATACTTATATTGTACTCGTCCTTTACTTGTCCTTTAATTGTTCAAAGTCATTCGCAGCGCAAAAACCGACGAGAACATACCACATAAAACCCGCGCCTAACGCGATTTTTTGTAATTCGCGCCAATCGTGGTTAATGTAAAAGTTTGTAGACGAAAACCAAATTTTACTAAATAAAACAACATCTTAAAATGCGAATCTGGTTTAGTCTATTTTACACGCGGCGAAAATCTAAATTCGCCAGTAACACCACCAAGGTGATATTTAAAATTTGAACAATTGAAACTCAAATTTAAAGAAATATTAATTTCTTACGAAAAAGCGTTGAGCGCAAATCAATATGAAAGTAAATAATATAGTTGACTGAGGGTTGCACAGCACAAAAGGCAAATTTGCGCGACGAAATTGTCAAGAAAAGTTGACATTTCATTTGCGGGGGTTTAAAATAGCACAGATTGCCCAGTTTGCGAGAGTCTTGCCCTTTCAAATGAGTACCCTAAAGACTGGTTTTCACTATGTCATATTTTGACGCCAAAATTTGGCGACATATTTTGACACATCTTTACCCCCTGTATCCATAGCTTTACCGGTGATATTATGGGCCAAAAACAGAGAGATAGCCGATTTAGCAGCGCATGTACCCGACTAAAGACCTGTCCTGATCCAAATCAATCGATAAAGCGCTTTTTAATCCCATTTGACAATGTGTTTTCACTTATTTGACGACAAATGCCACCGAATTTGACATAGTGAAAATCAGCCTTTAGTGTATCTTCCAGAAAGGGTTGCTAGGTTTCCGCAAAACTTAAGGTCTTACATCCATAAAAGTGAATTTTTAAATACATATGTAATTGCTTATGTATGCCAAATTCACAGTCTTCATTTAACTATTCAAAAATACGTTCTTTGAAAACGAAATAAACTAAATTCAAATGAATCTATCTGTGTGTCAGGTGAAAATAGAAACATTTCTATTTCGCATGTACGTGCATCTGCTTTGTACCGAAACAAATCAAATTTGCCTTTACACGATATGTTGGCATTTCCATATGTAAAAAGTGGCATTTAAACATGCAAATACATATCGTGTAAGAACACCTTAAATTGTGTTTCTGGATTGAGCGCATCAGACCGCAACGCCTGAAAGCCAGCTTTAGGGCTAAAATGAAATTCATGGTAAAGAAGACTTTTATGCTATTCCGACCAGCTGGGATAGACTGTGATAGGAGTATTGCACACAGCTAATTTGTGTGACTTGCACAATAAAGTAGTAATAAAAACCCGCCTTAAATTATAATAATCGGAATCAAAGTTAAGGGGGAAAAATGGTATCAAAAATTAAATCCAGATTGTACGCTAATCTGTTTTTCCATTGTTTGCACTCATACTAATGCTCTTGGCAT